TCTGAAATGTAAGAGGGAGAAGTCCCTCCAACTGGAGTGACCTGAGCGGTGAACCTGGAGATGTGCGCTGGTGGACAGGGAGAGGATTTTAGGCTGGCGGGGGATCTGACCATGAAGATTAGACAGAACTGAAACCACCGAATCGTCCGATTGGCCCTTTTGGCAGGACCTCATGAAGGACAATAACCAGGCCTCCTAGTATTTGAGAGCCTGTCAAACCCTCTTGGTTCAGACCCTGAGAAGTGTTGCTATTGAAGACGCTTATGGTGCATTTGAAGGCAATAAAACAGAGTGTTGCATTATGTTTCGGGGGAAGCTTTGCTTTCTTCTCCAGTAACTCATTCCACTTGCTAAGCCTGGAACCCTTGGGGTCACTAAGGGGCCGCAAATGCTCTGTGGATATGCCTGAAGTCATCACGTTACCCATTAGTCATCGGATACAGTGCTGGGAGAATGGAGAATGACAGAAACAGCTGGAATGGAACGGGGACACAGCGTGGACCTGTCTACCTAAGACGGACGCTCATCTGGTCCCGTGTCTCTACCTGTCCTACGTTGCGAGGGAGGAGTGGAAAGGGACAGCTTGGTCACGTGCCATCATCCTTTCCTTCTCTTGTACTCTCTCGTGGCTGTGAAGAGGGACCCAGCTCAGCCTTGGTGCTCGGCACCTTGGTTTTCCTTTCCTGGGGCTCTCTGGCAGTCCAAATTCTCCACAGACAGCACTGTCTAGAACTGATACGTTGCGACCCACCCAGCAGCAGCTGTAGCCCCCACTTCCTAACCAACAGGGAAGGGCAGGGTGACAGGGCTCCTGCTGGGGCCAGAAGAGAAGCCCCAGTCACAAGTGCACAGAGCAGTCAGGTCCCAGGTGTTGTCAGAATCCTCCCCAGAAAATGCCCAGATACCAGCTGTGGGGAGGCCTGAACTTCTAGCGTGGTAAAGGATTTGCTTTTTTTTTTTTCCTTTGAAGAGGAATTTTTAATTTCAGAATTTGATCCTTGTTATTTCAGCGAAGAGGAAGGGACGACTCCTAATTGCTTGGCTTAGAAAATACCGGCAGGAATACGGGAGTCCTACAATACTAGCCAAACATCTTTTTGGAGATTCTAGTATAAACTTAGAGGGGAACTAAGCGCTTCATGCCAGGACAAGGCTGAACGGCTTTTCTCAGGGCTGCTGCTCACCCCCTTGCTGGATGCTACGCTTGTTAGGTAACAGCACCAAGCTCTTGTCTGCATTGCAAGGAATTGCCCCACTGTGGCTGCGTGTAGCTGTCATTTCCCCATTTTGTTCAGGAAGCCTTGTCACAGATAGGTTTCCAGGATGGCAAGAGAGGAAAGGTTGGATGCTGGTTTGGTGGAAGCCGTTGTTAGAGAGAGCAGTGCTCAGATAAAGGACCCAGCCGGGGCGTGAGCTAAAGGGAGGCACTTAGAGGTGTCAGCAAAAGCAGCAGTCTCCTCCCCAGGGAAGAAGGAGGCCTGCAGCCTTGGCTCTGTCACTGCTGTGTGATTCAGAGCCCTTCGCGCAGTCATTCATTCACATTTAGAGAGTGTGCACTCTGGATCAGTCACTGTGGCCAGCCCATGGGATGCGTGGTGAGGAGCAGATTGAGGACTTTTCTCAAATCATGCTCCTCTGTTGGCATTGTCAGGAATGCACGGCCACAAGCCGCCCTCAGGGCCCTCCATCCCTAGTTTCTGATGCTTTACTTTTCTATAGGAGCAATACGCACCCAGAAGAACAGGGAAAAGTGGGCCCCGACATGGCACACCAAGTCTTGTGCTAAGTATTTTTATGTACATTGCCTGATTTTGTTTTCTCAAAAACCTCCTAAAATAGGTATTATTGTGCCCATTTGACAGCAGCTAAGAGTCCAAGAGGTTAAGCTGCCCTTAGTTGCAAGAGAGAAAAAGACAGAATCAGCTCTGCTGATTTCAGCCTTCCTCTCTCCTCCTCTTTCAGTGCCCTGCATCTTCCTAGGACTTTTCTCTGGGAGTACTTAGGGAAGATTTGCTCAAGAATCCCAAGGAGCTCATTCTTGCTGTGTGGATCTTCTGTTAGCTTTCCCTCTCTCCTGACCTGTGGATTTCTCTCATGCACCCCCAGGGCGACTTGCTACCTTGCCCAAGGCCACCACTCCCATGGCTTGGCCTTTGCTTGTGCCTACCTCCTGCATGGAAACTCTTTCCAGCTCGGCTGTGGCCAAATTCTGCATTCTCACCCAGACTTTATTTGTCTTACTCCTACATTCAGTTCACTCAGCCCCCAGTATTGTTCAACGCAGTGAGGAATTCGAAAAAGAGCACATGGGCTTGGGAGAAGTAAGACATATATATGTAGGTTGTAAGAAAGAGCCATGGGCCAAAGTAGAGACTTCTGGGCCATTTATTGGTTGCTGTTTCCCTACAAGGCGAGGTCTTTGGCAGGAGATGATTCAGACCTGCCCTTATGCTGCTGCCTTTCTCCCAAAGGATACCTCCTCTCTCTCTCTCTCTCTCTCTCTCTCTCTCTCTCTCTCTCTCTCTCTCCTGCTTAGACATGGTCATTGAGAAAGTTTGAACAATACAGACACTATTCACTCTTCAGAGGTAATATTTTCATCTATTCCCTTCTACAATAGCTGGCTAGGTTATGGTGCCGACTTGTTTGATCAAACAGCAGTCCAGATGTGGCCATGGAGAATTTCTTTAGATATGCTAAACATTTGAATTAGTAGACTTTGAGTAAAACAGACCACCCTCCTTAACATAAGTGGGCTTTATCTAATAAGTTACTCCTTAATAGATGGAGGTTGCCCAAAGAAGAACAGATTTTGCTTCAAGACTGTCTGAGAGGCCAGCCTAGTGGTGTAGCTGGTTAGGCCGATGCCCTAGATGCCAGCATTTCATATGGGCACCAGTTTGACTCCCAGCTTCTCCACTTCTGATCCAACTCCTTGCTAATGTGCCTGGGAAAGCAGTGGAAGATGGCCTAAGTGTTTGGGTTCCTACCACCCTCATGGGAAGCCCAGAAGAAGCTCCTGGCTCTTGGCTTCAGCCTGGCCCAGCCTTGGCCTCTGTGGCCATCTGGAGAGTAAACCGGGGGATGAAAGAGCTCTCTCTCTCTCTCTCTTTTTTTTTTTCTCTCTCTCTCTTCCCATCTCTCTCTGTAATTCTGCTTTTCAAATAAATAAATCTCAAAAACAAAAGAAGATCCTGTCTGAGTTTCCTATCTGCAGATTATGGATTCAAGACTACAACATCAGCTCCTCCATGAATTTCCAATCTGCTCTGCAGGTTTGAGACTTGCTGGTCCTTACAACCTCATGAGCTAATTTGTTAAAAATAAACACTTCTCCCTCCCTACCTCCCACCATCTACACACATGCATACCCACCACAGGTACTTCAAACAGTTCATGGAAAAAGGAAGTTAAAAGCTAAATTTGGAGATGGATGTTTGATGTAGCACTTAAGCTGCCACTTGGTACCTATGCACCCCATATCAGAGTGCTCGGGTTTGAGTCCTGCTTCTGCTCTGATCCAGCTTCTTGCTAATGCACACCGTGGGAAGCAGCAGGTAATGGCTCAGGTGCTTGGGTTCCTGCTACCCACATGGGAGATCTGGATGAAATTGCAGGCTCCAGCTTCAGCCTGGTCCAGTCCCAGCTGTTGTGGGCACTTGGGGAATGAACCAGCATATGGAAGATCTCTCTTTGTCTCTATCTCTCTGTTGCTCTGCCTTTCAGATAGGATGGAGCATGTTCATGTTGGTATGGAAATAGACTCTTATTTTCAAAATAAATAGATCAATAAAATTATTTAGGAAAATACTTTGTCAGCATTTAAAAAAGGAAAACAAGTGTTGGTGAAGATGTGGAAAACCCTTCAGCTGGTGTTGGAGAAATTGCCTGACTGGTGGGAATGTAAAGTGATGCGGCAAACATTTTTGTCCCTTTAAAGGCTAAGCATAAAAAAAGTTAAGCATAGGGGCTGGTATGGTGGCTTGGCAAGTTAAAGCTGCCACCTTCAAGACTGGCAATCCTGTATGGGCTCCAGTCTGTGTCCTGGCTGCTGCGTTTCTAATCCAGCTCCCTACTGGTGGCCTGGGAAAAGCAGCGGAGGGTGCCCTGGGTGTTTGGGCCCCTGCAACCCACATGAGAGACTCAGATGGAGTTCCAGGCTCCTGTCTTTGGCCTGGCCCAGCCCTGGTCATTGTGGACATCTAGGGAGTGAGCCAGCAGATGGAGATCTCTCTCTCTCTCTCCCTCCCTCCCTCCATCCCTCATCCCTCTTTCCCTGTAACTCTGACTTTCAAATAAATAAATAAATAAATCTATTTTTTTTTTAAGTTAAGCATAGTCTTACCATATAACCCAGCAATTCTACTCCTAGGAATTGAAAAGTGGTACTCAAACAAATGTATGTTCACAGTTACATTACCCAAAATATTCAAGAGATGGAAGCAATCCAGGTGTCCTTCAGACAGATGAATGGATAAACGAGATGTGACACATGTATACACTAGGCTCTTGTTCTGCCATATAAAGGGACGGGGTGCTGAGGAAGGCTACAATGTGGGTGCCTCAACAGCATTGTACAAAGGGAAGGGGCTGGGGATAAAAGGCTGCGTGTTGCATAATTTCACTTATATGAAATGTTCAGAACAGGAAAAGGTGTAGTGATAGAACACAGCTGAGTGATGCCAGGGCTGGGAGGAGGGAGTCTGGGGAGCCACTGCTTGATGGTCTCCTTCTGCAGTGATGAAAGTGGGAGCTGGACACAGGTGGTGGTTGCTCAACATTAATGGATGGTTAATTTTAGGTTATATGAGTTTTGCCCCTTTAGAACAGCTAACTAGTAAAGGAAGAAATCAAGACTAAATTCTTTCCCTCTGATGCCTGCCCTATTTTATGGTTTCAGTTTTAAAGCATAAGCACAAAATGATGCCATACCTTTGGTTATTCTGACCTTGGAGTTTTATTAGACTCTCCCAGCATTTTCACTACTCTGTATCTTGCAGATTTCCGTTCAAGGCTTCAAGAACATTGCAAACAGCTGCAGTGGAATCATGCACCTGACCATCAATGACATGCCAACCCTGACGGACAACTGCGTAAAAGTAGGTAGCCAGACTGTCCACTTCTCGTCAGTCTATTAGATGGGCACATAGTTTAGTGGCTTGAGTTAGTGAAAAATATGAACAGGCCTTTCAGCTTATTGTTTTTTTAAAAATAAAAAAATCATTTAAACTTGTAAGCACACACACACATACACATACTCATACACATGTTCCAAAAGCATTTGAACATTTGAATCCTTAAATACGCTAAGAAATCTCATTTCACAATTAAGCCATTTTTATTGGAGTGGTGTTGTTAGCGTAGATGTAGACATTGAGTTCTCTGTGTCAAGCTGCCAAGGGCAGTGATGGTTTTTTCAGCCTTCCATTTTCTCATGTTTCCCCCATACTCCTGTTACTATGACTTAATTCTGATTCCTCTGCATTACTCAAATGTAAGTACATTAAGATCCATTGAAATAAATTCCATTCTCCCTGAAATTTGGAAAATGTGTTAGTTGATGTGTCTGTTTCTGAAAATGCTGAGAGACAAAAAAAAAAAAAAAAAATCACCCCCTTCCCTTGCTAAGCTTGTTCTATTCACTGTGCTTATTCCCATCATCCTTTTCTCTCCTACAGGCTTTGGTTGAGAAGTGCCCGTCCATCACCTCAGTCACCTTCATAGGTTCGCCACATATTTCTGATTGTGCCTTCAAAGCCCTCACTGCCTGCAACCTCAGAAAGATCCGATTTGAAGGTGTGTGATGTTAACACTCTGGGTTAGCTTTGTCACTCTTTCACTCCTGTGGCATGATAGACAAAATACTTGTCATTTCTCTCTCTCACACAGGAAATAAAAGGATTACTGATGCATGCTTCAAGTTTATAGACAAGAATTATCCAAATATCAATCACATTTACATGTCAGACTGCAAGGGAATAACAGATAGTAGCCTCAAATCACTTGCAACCTTGAAGCAACTCACTGTGTTGAATTTGGCAAATTGTGGAAGGTAATGAGTCATTCAGTCATATGTTTTCAAGAAATATTGATTATCTAGTATGTTCCAGGCCCTCTCACCAAGGAGCTCACTGGTCAGCAGGGTAAACATGAAAAGCAGCAGTCCGGTCAAGGGCATGCAGCTCTGTGGCCCCATGAAGGAGGGGCGCCAAACCCCAGAGCTGTTACAAGGGACGCAGTGAAAGCGTCAGGGACAGCTCTGGAGAGAGCAGTCAGGAACCCTTCTAAGAGCAAGTGAACTCACAGGAACGCTTCTGTGGGCTGCCTTTCCTGGTTTAGTGAACAGGATCAGCTGGTTCAATCCAAGGTTCTTTTCCCAAATGGACTTCCTGGCTCACTTACGAGGAACCAACTCATCTGAAGGGTTTCCTCTTGGGTACTGGTTAGATTTCTCCTCTTGTGGATTTTGCAACAATGGGTAAATGGCGAGTTCTTACTGAGGCCTTGCCTTCGTCGGGCCAGTAGCTGCTACCCTGGTGTTTTCAGATGGGTCACGATCAAATTCTTGCCTATATCTTTTCTGCTATGGACATCACAACCTTTGACCTATGTATATTTCTTTTTTTAATTATTTAAAAAATTATTTATGGTTGACACATAATACTTGTACCTATTTCTGGGGTACACCATGGTGTTTCAAAATATCTTTACATTTAGTAATATCAAATAAGGTTAACGAGTATCCTCATTTCCCTAAACATTTATCATTTTTTTGTGATGAAAATATTCAAAAACCTCTCTTCTAGCCCTTTAGAAATACACAGTACATTATTGTTAACTGTAGTTGTCTTACTCTGCAAAGGATCGCCAGAATTTACTTCTACCTACCTCTAGCTTGTACTCATTAATCAGTCTTTCTGTCCTCCCCTCTATACCTCCCCCACAGCCTCTGGTAACCATTATTCTGCTCTCTACTTCTATGAGAACAACTTTTTTAGATTTTTCATAGGAGTGAGATCATGCTCTATATTTTTTCTGTGCCTGGCTTATGTCACTTAATGTCCTCCTAGTCCATCCATGTTTCTGCAAATGACAAGATTTTACTCTTTTTGTGTGTGTGCGGCTGAATACACCTCATATCAGATTGCCTGGGTTCAAGGCCTGATTCCACTCCTGATTCCAACTTCCTGTTAATGTGCACCCAAGGAAGTAGCAAGTGACAGCTTAAGTTGTTGGGCCCCTGCCACCCACATGGGAGACCCTGATGGCGTCCTGGCTCCTGGCTTTGGTCCCAGCCTCGGGCATTGCAGGCATTTGGGGAGCAAACCAGTGGTGGGGATCTCTGTCTGTCTCTCAAATGAAAAAACACCACAAGAACCAAAAACATTGCCATTGAGAGAATCAGCTCGGAGTAAGACTCCAGAAATAGAATATTAAGTAAGTGGGTATGAATTGTTTGGAGAAACAGATAATAGAATCAGAAATGAGAAGAGACAAGAAAATTTCAAAAAATTGAGGGAGCGGGAGATGGGAGGGTTGCGGGTGGGAGGGAAGTTATGGGGAGGAAAAAGCCACTGTAATCCAAAAGCTGTACTTTGGAAATTTATATTCATTAAATAAAAGTTAAAAAACATTTCCAAAAAATTAATTTTTTAAAATGTGTAGCTTAGAAAATATAATCTAATTATTGAAATTAAGAGACTCAGTAGATTACTAATAAGCAGAATGGAAGTCACAGAGAAGTATAGAGATGGAAGATAACTCTGAAAAAATGAAAGCAAAAGGAAAAAGATAAAGAATATGAAATACATAACATTCAAGATAAAAAACCAGGGAAGGTTTAACATTAGAGTTTCAGATTGTGTATTTCAATTTTTTTAAACATTTCCTTTCTATTTACTTGAAAGGCAGAGAGACAGAGACAGAGATCTTCTATCTGATGATTTACTCCCAAAATGCATGTAACAGCTAACTCTGGGGTGGACCAAAGTCAGGAGCTTGGAACCCAATTTGAGTCTCTCCCATAGGTGGCCTGGACCCAAACACTTGGGCCATCATTTCTGCCTCCCTGAGTGTAAGTTAGCAGGAAACTAGAATCAGAACTGGAGTCAGATTTGAACCCAAGCACTCCAGTGTTGGAATCCAGTGTCTCATCTGATACCTTAACCACTGTTCCAAACACCAGCCCCCAGATTAGACTGAAAATTCATCTAAGTTTGAAAGTCAAAGAATATGCATTTTCACACATGTGTCAAACAATAGACCATGTATGAAATTTTAAAGGAAGTTCCAATAACTTTTATTTTATTATTATTATTTTAAAATATTTATTTATTTATTTGAAATACAGAGAGTTATAGAGAGAGAAAGAGAGAATCTTCCATCCACTGGTTCACTCCCCAGCTGGCTGCAATGGCCAGGGCTATGCCAGGCCGAAGCCAGGAGCCAGGGATTCCATCCCAGAGTCCCAGATAGGTGGCAGGGACAAAAGTACTTGGACCATCTTCTGCTGCTTTCCCAGGTGCATTAGAAAGGAGCTGGATTGGAAGTGGAGCAGCCAGGACTGGAACCAGTGCTGGTATGGAATGCCAGCATCATAGGCAGTGGCTTAACCTGCTGTGCCAGCCCCCCAGTAACTTCTAAACTATCGGTATCAACAAATTATATTTTCTCACTACAGTGCAATTAACTTAGGAATCTGTCACTAAAAGATGAATTAAAATGCATGTATGATTTAAAAGTAAAAATCCCAGGGTATCAGAATCACCTTAGGAGCTGAATGAAATATTTTGTGGTCAAACCCCACCCCAGAGTTGCTGAATCTAAACCTTTGGAGGTTGAGTCCCAGTGAGTCTATTTATTTTCCCCAAAGACTTAAGTATTTGAAAGACAGAGTATATATCTCCCTCTCTCTCCCTCTCTCTCTCTCTCTCTCTTTCTCCCCCCCCCCCCCAGGGAGAGATGGAGGAGTGGCAGTAGTGGGGATTGATCTCCCATCCATTGGTTTATTCCCCCAAATGGCCCCAGTGGCCAGGGCTGGGCCATGTAAAGCCAGGAGCCTGGAACTCCGTTCGGGTCTCCCACATGGGTTGCAGCAATCCAGATACTTGAACCATCTTCTGCTGCGTGGTCAGGTGCATGAGAGGGAGCTGGAGAGGAAGCACAGCAGCCGGGGCTTGAACCTGGCACTCTGATATGGGATGCTGGTATCCCACGTGGTGGCTTAACCCTCTGTACCACATTGCTGGCCCCAGGTGTGTGTGTGTGTGTGTGTGTGTGTGTGTGTGTTAAACAACATACATGCTTTTGATGCCCAGCCTGTGTATTAAGTGGCTTATGTCACTTAATGTCCTCCTAGTCCATCCATGTTTCTGCAAATGACAAGATTTTACTCTTTTTGTGTGTGTGCGGCTGAATACACCTCATATCAGATTGCCTGGGTTCAAGGCCTGATTCCACTCCTGATTCCAACTTCCTGTTAATGTGCACCCAAGGAAGTAGCAAGTGTATTAAGTGACATAAGTGTATTAACCAATGAACTTGAATTCTTACCTAAATAAATAACCCTTTTCCATCGACTTTCTATCTCTCTTTGATTTTAATGTGAATTTATACACATATATAATACGTACAAGTATAACACACATAAATGTAAACTATTATATATATATATGTGCATATGTATATATGTCTGTCTTCACACTCTTGTGAAGCCTTCACTTATCTGTCATCTAATCTTGTGCAATATTCTTATCTGTACAATGGGAAACTAACAGGACACACTTCATAGGATTGTTTTTATTGCAGAGGAGAGAGACATCCAAGGCCAGTTTTATTTTTTTAGATGTATACACATAAACACACTTTAAAAAGAGCCACATCATACCATTTTGCTGTGTACCATTTCAAGAGGAGAAAGAACAGGACTATAGGATGTTCTATTGGATAAAATTATCTTCATTGCATGTGGTGATAGTCTTAATTAAGATTTTGTTAACATAATGTTTTGACTCAATATAAAAATGTCACCCCTATATTAATTTTATTTACTCTTGCCTAATGTATCTTTGCGAATTCTCTAAGGGCCATATGTCTTATGAATAGTTATATCATCCAGTTAAATCAACGGATGAACAGAAATAACATTTTATTAATACTTCTCCCATTACCATCATTCCTATATTTTCTATTACAAATCTACGTAATCACATTTTGTTTTAAAATGTTGATAAAGCATCAGTATACTTTAGTCTATAGAGATTACTGTGCTATTTTTTGCAATACATTGAATGCAGTAATCATCATTTTTTGGTGACTATTAATATAATACTGATTTACAATTGATAAATAACATCTCATATGAAACTTTTTCCACTCCTTTCTGCAGGATCGGTGATATGGGAATCAAACATTTTCTTGACGGTCCTGTGAGCCAAAGGTTAAGAGAGCTAAATTTAAGCAACTGTGTGCACCTGGGGGATGACTCGGTCCTGAGACTCTCAGAGCGGTATGGTCAAATGCTACTTGGCATCAGTCAGTCATTATTGTACATTTGCTATAGGAGAGACCAGAGACGGACCCAAAAGCCTTCTCCAAAGGATAGGGGTGCCTTGAAGCTGGGCCCCTTCTCCATGAAACCAAATATACGACATCAAAGTCATAGACTGGACTCATGTTTTGATTAGATCCCATATGTTTCTGATTAATTTCACCACCAAGGAGAAAGTTTGAAGTGGAGTTGTTTAGGACTAGAATATCTGGATGTGGGTGACGTCGCTGTGTCTCCTCCAGCATTTCCCCAAGGGGTGTCCAGGCTGGATGGGTTTGTCCTTGACCTCCTTACTTGCTAGAGGTCTTGGGTTCTCTAAGGGTCAAGCCCAATTCCTGTGGCAAACTTGCAAGGATTAAAGGAGGAACTTAACCTTGTACCTTTAGTGATCATTCACCCTGGTACTTTACACGATAGTTTTTTGGATGATTGTGACATATTTTTTCCTTATTAGAAATTGCAATATGAAAGTGACTCACAGGAACAAAGTCCTACATAATAATCTACCTTCTTTGCATCCAACCTTGTAACACCAAGTCATATTCCACTTTTAGGCCTTTTTTATACTGAGAAAATGAAAACCCTTGTTTCTGTATCAGTTGTTTTCCCAGAGCTTTTATATAAAGACACTGTTTTTCCCAATGCAATTGAAAGTTAAAATTAATCCTTCACCCCACTTTCTTTCAGCTGCCCTAACTTAAACTACTTGAGTCTGCGGAATTGCGAACACCTGACTGATCAAGGCATTGAAAACATCGTAAACATCCTTTCCTTGGTATCCGTAGATCTCTCTGGAACAATCATCTCTAATGAGGTGAAAAATACTCAGTATAGTCAATGGCTTTTATGTTTTTCTGTAATATAATCATTTTCTATTTTGTAATTAGTGGAGAGGACAATACGTAGTTTTGTTTCTTAAATTATCAGATTATAAAAGAAATGTATAAGAATATTGTTTCTAGAACAGTGCTAGATGAAGTTCTTTGTAAGTCAAGTAATCAGCCCTAAAGGCACTCGGATCTGGCTGAAAAGCCCATGAGAGTATTTCAGGCATGGAAAGCCAAGGCACTCTGGCAAAAAGATCTCTGTGAGTGAGATCCCAGTGGAAAGAACAGGTCTTCAAAGAGGGAGGTGCCTTTCTCTGAAGGGAGGAGAGAACCTCCACTTTGACTATGACCTTGTCTGAACAAGATAAGAGTCAGAGAACTCAAGGGGCTTCCATAGCCTTGGAAACTCATGACTGGTGCATAGGGAGATTATTGATGCCATAAACAGGAGTGTCAATTTGTAAAGTCAACAACAGGAGTCACTGTGCACTTACTCCTCATGTAGGATCTCTGTCCTTAATGTGCTGTACACTGAGGCTTAATGCTATAACGAGTACTCAAACAGTATATTTCACTTTGTGTTTCTATGGGGGTGCAAACGATTGAAATCTTTACTTAATGTACACTAAACTGATCTTCTGTAAAAAAAAAAAAAAGAAATTATCAATTCCCAACTTGACTCTCACTGGGATTAAACATGACAATAGGTCTGATCTGATTTCACCATGATTTAAAAAAAAATCATCTATTATTTTTCACTTTATGTTTCTGTGTGGGAACAAACTGTTGAAATCCTTACTTAAGGTATACTAAGCTGATCTTCTGTATATTAAGATAATCGAAAATGAATCTTGATGTGAATGGAAGGGGAGAGGGAGTGGGAAAGGGGAGGGTTGTGGGTGGGAGGGACGGTATGGGGGGGAAAGCCATTGTAACCCATGAGTCGTACTTTGGAAATTTATATTCATTAAATAAAAGATAAAAAAAAAAAGCAGGAAATACTGTTGAGGAGAGGCTTGGCAGATGAGAGTGTTACATGATAATCTGAAATGCGTTCATCATGGAAGTCTGGTCAACCTGCATGTAATATGTTTTAGATGCTTTACCTATTTTTTATGGGTTGCACATTCTGCGTGCCTTGAGATCTAAGTCTTTGAGACTGAACTCTAGAAACGACCCCGGCAACTCTTCATTGTAAGGAAGCTCATTTGCTGCCGGCTGCTGATATTCACCATGAAGCTGAAACTCAGGTTTTAACCTAACCCCAACACCAACACTGCAGAGCTGCCCCACTGAGTAACAGGGACGACGACAACCCCCGAGAGGCTGGCTGTTCCTCCGAGACTTTAATGGACTCTCCTTAGACTAGCAGAGCTGCTTTTAGCAGTCAGTGCTCTGGGCAGGACAGAGGGAGACAACAAGAGGGTGGACCCCACGCACCCCTGCTTGTTCATCCCTGAAGACCCAGACGGAGTATCACCTGTGCGTGTGAGCCCTCGCGGAGAAGCTGTGCCTTGTAGGCTGCATCAGAACTGCTCCCCGTGCGTGTCCAGCCCCAGTGCAGCCATTAAGGTGGTCAGTTTCTCACTCATGACAGACACCTGTGTTGGGCGCCAGCCCCCTTGTCATAGATTCTTGGTCTAACCTGGGGTGGAAGATGTTTCAGCAGATTATTTGTGTTTTTTTTTTTTTTAATTTTTTTTGACAGGCAGAGAGAGAAAGGTCTTCTTTTTCCGTTGGTTCACCCCCACAAATGGCTGCTACAGCCGGCGTACTGCTCTGAGCTGAAGCCAGGAGCCAGGTGCTTCTTCCTGGTCTCCCATGTGGGTGCAGGGCCCAAGGACCTGGGCCATCCTCCACTGCCTTCCCGGGCCACAGCAGAGAGCTGGACTGGAAGAGGAGCAACCGGGACAGAATCCGGCTCCCATATGGGATGCTGGCACCGCAGGTGGAGGATTAACCAAGTGAGCCATGGTGCCAGCCCCTTCAGCTTAGTTTTTTATCATTTAGGGGGTAGAAATCTGTTTTTTGTTTCCAAAGACCATATATTAAAATCTTATCTATTGTGGGCAAGTTAAAAATTAGGAATATAGAATCAAGTTCCATTCTCTTCATTCATTTTCTTTTTAAAACATTCTATTTAAAAATTTATTTGAGAGGCAGTTGGGGAGAGAGAGAGAGAGAGAGAGAGAGAGAGAGAGAGAGGAGGAGGAGAGGGAAAGAGTGCTCCCATCCATTGATTCATTCTCCAGATGCCTTTGGTGGCTGAGCTGGGCCTGGACCAGAGCTGGGAACTCAGTCCAGGTCTGCCATATGGGTGGCATCACCTGTTACTTCCTCCACCCCCAGCCAGGGTCTGCATTAAGCAGGAAGCTGGCATCAGGAGCCAGAGCTGGGATTTGAACCCAGCTATTCTAATGTGGGACATGGTGTCCTAACCTCTAGGCCAAACACTTGCCCCCAAGTTTAGTTTCTACTGAAGAATACGAATTGGGGCTGGTGCTGTGGTATTGCAGGTAAAGCTGCTGCCTGCAGCACCGGCATCCCACATGGGCACTGGTTCGAGTCCTGGCTGCTCCACTTCTGACCCACCTCTCTGCTATAGCCTGGGAAAGCAGAAGATGGCCCAAGTCCTTGGGCCCCTGCACCTGTGTGGGAGACCTGGAAGAAGCTCCTGGCTCCTGGCTTCGGATCAGCTCTGGCCATTGCAGCCATTTGGAGAGTGAACCAGCAGATGGAAGCCCTTTCTCTCTCTCTCTCTCTAATTCTGCCTTTCAAATAAATAAATCTTGAAAAATAAAAAGAATATGTGTAACCTGAGAGAGCCATGAACAGACATCTGTGTGGAAGAAAGCTAGTTGTTTTCTGTCAAAAGATTGCAAAATAAATTTTCTGAAAGTTGCTGTTTTCTTCCTCCAGTCAACTAAACTGATCCAAAAGGCAAATGATTGACAATTACAGTGCTACAACAGCTGTGGAAAGTAACCTCAAACAGTCAAATTGAAATGAGTCAGCGCAGATGTCTTCTTGGGCTGTTAATCACCAGCCTGGATTGTAGGCCTGATGAAGTGCAAATTTGCCTGTAGACTTAACATTCAGGATTTAGACTCTGGAATGTTCCAGACACTCACCAGAGAACAAGTGTGACCAGTGGTCCAGGGGGGTGGGAGTGGGGAGGCTTGTGTCATGTCTTTTCTGCTCACTCTCAGTTCTTCTAAATGAGTTTTCAGTTAGTTACACTCCTTGTTTAGTTCGTAGATTTTTCTTCTGATGCTGTGGTGCTGGGTGCTGGAATGAACACAACAGCCATGGCCCCTCCTCCCTGCACTTCCCCTCTAGTGTGACAGGTGCTTACTGAGTAGGTGGGCGTGGGAAGCAGTGAAGAGGGACATGTGCCATGGCACAGAGGGTCAAGAAGGACTTTCTCTTTCCAATGGAGGAGAAGGGACGTGCAGTGAGCCACAGGCTGCATGAAAAAACATAGAGGGGTGTTGAGTGTGGAAGCATCAAGAGCCATACATCTGGGCATGGCGCAGGTATGAGGAGAATGGTGAGAGATGACGGGGGCCATGCAGCTTTTGCAAATCTTTAGCTGCAATGGCTTTTTCAAGGTTCTAATAGAGGCCAGTGCTGTGGTGAAGTGGGTTAAGCTGCCACCTGCAGCCCCGGCATCCCATATGGATGCATCTTCCAGTCTCGGCTGCTCCACTTCTGATCCAGCTCCTTGCTAATGTATCAGGGAAAGCAGCAGAAAATTATCCCAGTGGTTGGGCCCCTGCCACCCAAGTAGGAGACCTGGAGGAAGCTCCTGGCTCTTGGCTTTGCTCTGGCCCAGCTCCGGCCATGGTGGCCATTTGGGGAGTGATCCAGTGGATGGAAGATCTCTCTCTCTCTCTCTCTAACTTGGCCTTTCAAATATAATAAATGGATCTTTTAAAAGAAGTGTCTAACAAAGGGCTGGCATTTTGGCTCAGTGGGTCAAACTGCTGCTTGCAACACTTGTATCTCATATGAATGCTGGTTCGAGTCCCATCTTCTCCACTTTTAAAGATTTTATTTATTTATTTGAGAGGTAAAGTTATAGACAGTGAGAAGGAGAGACAGGGAGAAAGGTCTTCCATCTGCTGGTTCACTTTCCCAGATGGCTGCAATGGCTGGAGCTGGGCCCATCTGAAGCCAAAAGATAGGAGCTTCTTCCAGGTCTCCCATGCAGGTGCAGGGCCCAACCACTTGGGCCATCTTCCACTGCTTTCCCAGGCTGTAGCAGAGATCTGGATTGGAAGAGGAGCAGACGGGACTCAAACTGGAGCCCATCTGGGATGTCGGTGCCGCAGGTGGAGGATTACCTACTGCACCACAATGCTGGCTCCACTGCTCCACTTCTGATCCAACTCACTGCTGATTTGCCTGGGAAAGAAGCAGATGATTTAAGTGCCTGGGCCCCTGCCACCCATGTGGGAAACCCAGATGGAATTCCTGGCTCCTGGTTTCCTCCTGTCCCACACCTGTCTATTGTGGCTATTTGAGGAGTAAACTAGTGGATGGAAGATCTCTGTTTCTCAGCCTCCTCCCACCCCCACTGTCATTCTGCCTTTCAAATAAATAATTTTTTTAAAAATGTGTCTAATAAAATGGAATATTAAGCATTCCCCCACCTGCCCTAGAGGAATATTGGAATGATTTGGTATAGCTCTGTGTGCATGGGGAAGAGAGTTCTCATGTACTAAAGATCACAGAAGAGCAGGTCAATCCGTTGAGTGGAGTCATTGTTTTTTATCCATTCAGCCAACCTAAGTCTTTGTGTTGGTGAATTTAATCCACTTACATTCAAGATGAGTATTGATGGATAAAAACTAAGACCTATCATTGTGTTGATTGGGTAATGATTCTACCTGGTCTGTTGGTGAATTTGATGGTGTCATGTGTTTTCATTATATTTACTTTTAATGCAGGATGCCCTTCAGGATTTTTCTTGCAAGGCTGGTCT